TGCCTTCTGTCAGTTAAACTTAAGTAGGTGCCCCGCACGTGTACCACCCAAGCAGTAAAAAAAAAACTCGTCATCTTGACAATCCAAATTTCAATCTGACGGCTACAATTACTGAGCTGACCAGACATGTATTTTTTATATACTGGATGGGAGACAATTATTATGTATATAAATAAATTATGTAATTCTCTCCAACTCTCCATGTTTTTAAAAAATTTTGTTATATAAAATTTATAACATCTTTCTTTGCGTTAATGCGTGTTGAATTGATCAAGAAGTCGAAATGATATAATTAATATGCACACAACATGTTATTCGAACTGTTATTTCTAAAGTGTTTGAAAGTTACAGCCGTGTGCCTTAGTCCGTACTGGTATCATCAGATCTCACAGAGTACAATGGTGGCTATAAGCTCCACCTGTGGGGTGTTGCCCACTCAATAATCTCAAATGTTATCCACCAGCCATTAATTAGAGAAAAAAAGTAACCTAATTAACTGTTATTATCACCACTAATTTTATTACACGTGATATGCAAAGTACAACTTAAACTTGGGAAGGAGTAGTGTTCCGATCATCAGATCTGACAAAGTACAACGCATATACAATGTATACGTACTTTCCTTCTCAATTCCGGTCATCATTATTGGATTAATCCGATTGCACCATTAATTCTTCGCTTATATATATTTATATATACGAGTTGTGTGGGGGCAATATTGTAATCTTCAAACATGGGAAGGAGTAGTGTTCGGTGGGGTTGGAGCAGATGCCACGCGCCGGCCACGCTCCGATCGGGAATTCTCAGCGAACTTGATGCTGTTGTGGTGCAAACCCTTCTGTTTCTCTTCCTCAGTCCACTCGGATCCGTAGTATGACTCTTCCGTTGACTTTGCTACGTCTTTAGATGGAGGAAGGAACATACTTCCCCATTGAGGGAAATGCACTAGAGTCACTGGCAGAGTACATGCCATGATCATCACCCCCATCAGTGATAGCCCTGTCGCCGTTGAGAATTTCGAGGTCGAGAAGAACACCAGCTGCGTCAACCCGGACCCGAAGTTCCCTCCGGCGCCGGTCATGCCTGATATGATTCCCAGGGATCGGCGGGAGATGAAGGGGATGATGCCGAAGGTGGCTCCGCAGGCGGCTTGGGCTCCGATGGAGAAGAGGATCATTGCGAACACCGCGATGGGAAGGCTGTTGGCGCGTCCCAGCCATATGCAGAACGCTCCCCCTGCTGTCTGCAGGATCCACAGCGTCCACAGCCTCCCTCTCATGCCGAAGTGTCTCCCCGCCACGTCTGAGGCGTAGCCTCCAAAAGGACGGGCCACCAGGTTTGCCATTCCGAATGAGGCTGCAATGATGCCGGCGGTGTGTAGATTCAGATTGAACCTATCATCGCTGCCACGTCTGAGGCGTAGCCTCCGAAAGGACGGGCCACCAGGTTCGCCATTCCGAATGAGGCTGCAATGATGCCGGCGGTGTGTAGATTCAGATTGAACCTATCATCGATTCATTACAATAATTAATTAAGTTCACATATATTGCATGGTTAATTACAGATTTTTCCAGAGTATCTGTCCAATAGTGGTGCGAGGGCCATAACATGGGACCTATAGCATTGTTAAAGACAAAGGTGCTGGTGGGAAAGTGGTGCCGAGAAAAAGACAAAATTAAGTACCTGTCATAGAAATACTCGGCAATGACATTATCAGTGGAAAGTTCAACGCCCATGGAATATCCATAGAGGAGGACAAAGATCCACGTTCTGTAGTTGGTGACGGCATACCACATTACCTGAAACAGTGCAAGATTTACGACATATGATTTCTTTCTACATTAATTAATTTTATTAAGAGAACACAAACTGATTTTTTTTTTTCTTTTAATCCTACCTTGGAGAATTTGTCCTTGGCAACATCACCTTTCTTCTGCAAAGCACGGAGGTTGCCATCAGGCAAGTCCTGACCAAGAGTCAAAACCAAAATGCCCATAATAATATGAAACCAACCAGGAATAAAGAAGGCCATCCTCCAAGCACTAAACGGCGTCGCACCGGCCTTACGAATGATATCATAAACCAAAGGCATCAGAAGCTGAGTGGCCCCACCTCCCATGTTCCCCCACCCGGCGGCTGTTCCATTTGCAAGCCCAATTATCTTACTGTTAAACATTGTGCTCATCCAGTACTGGCACGACACAAACGTCGCCAGCGAAAAACCTATCATGAACCGCACCGCGAGATACCCTCCGGCGTCGGACACAAACGACATGCAAAACACTGTCGGAGCCGACAGCATTATGAGGAAGGCGCAGCCGTATCTCGGTCCCAAAAGGTCGCAGACTGCGCCCATGACCAGCCTCGAGAAGATACTGCCTGAAACGGAGGCAACACCAGCGTTTCCGATGTCGACTTTTTTGAGATTGAGGTTGTCTCGGATGATGGGGACGAGAGGAGCGGCTGCGAAGGTGGAGATGAAGCAGGTGAAGAAGGAGATCCACGAGAGATGGAAGGTTCTCATGTGGGGGTTGGCCAAGGAGAAGAGCTTGAACACCTTGGCCTTGTGTTCCGAGTCTACCGGCAAAGCAAACTTCGCAGTCGTGTCTGTCGGGACGATCGGAGAGGCCACCGAGAAGGCGAAGGTCTGCTCTCTCCCGGTGACTCCATGCATGGAACTTCCCGGCTCTCCTAAGCCTTCATTGTCGCCCATTTTTGGCTTTTTTGGTGAACAAAAAGATGTATAATGTAGCTACGGAACTAGGAAGTACTAATGACTTAGTTGTGAAGTGTTGGAGAGAAGCTTGGGTGTATTTATAATGTACTGGGATGTAGAGAAAGGCTTTGACATTGTAAAAGCCTCCACGGAGAGCCTGATTTGGAGATTCTCAACTTGTGAGGAGAAGTGATCGTTAATTAACATTAACATAAAATTATGGAAAGAGAATATCCATTTCGCCGCATCTGCCCGTTAAAAGGGTGGAAGACTCATTCTATATCCCAAAGAATCATGTGGCTACTTTATCAAATGGGGGACGGCCAGTTTTTTAATCAATTAAACAATTAACTTGTATATATTGAAGTATTAACCAATAAGTTACGTATCTCTATGTATATTACATTACTATAACGCGACTTCAAAGCGAAATCGCAGTATAAAATAAGTCTAGCTATACTTTGTTTTCAAGATCTCAATCATAGTAACTATAATCTATAAATTAGTATTTGCATAGCTAATTAATAAAGTTAATTAATAAGTGATGGACACACAAAATTATGCTTCCGGGCGTACGTGTATATGTTTAAGTATATATGTTACTCTCACTAACGAGCACTCTCTATAAAATTTATTCTACTGCCAATATTTGGGTGATCAATTTGACGCTTCTTAGTACTTTCTTGGCATTAAAATGATCAGTACTATATGAATTTATATGCTTGATTTCCTACATGTGATTACAAGCAATATGTAATAGTTACATACATATCATGACGGATATGGCGATGACTATTAGATCTCGTGTAAACAATATATGCATGAAATAGGTCCTTATTAAATGTATGGATTAATCTTAGGCTAGCAAGGTTGTAATTATGAATTAATTGTGTTGTGGTATTCAGCTTGGTCAATTATAATTTCCTTTTTTTTCGAAAACTTGAGTTGAACGAGAAATAGTTTTCTGCTGGGGACGGTGATATTGATTATTGAGATATATATACCCGCTTGAAATGTACGCGAGGACTTATACATGTGTGTGTGTATGTTGTGATGCGTATAGATACGTGTGCATAAACTAGTATACCTAACTGCATCTAGTTTCTAGCAATGATTATGAGAAAACAGGGCCAACACTAATTCTAACGGGTTGGTTTTATTTATTTATTTTCATATACCAATTTTAAAGTCATATATAATAAATGTATATGTAGATATATATTGAACCCTAAGTAAGCATTATAATGTCTAAAAGAAATACTAGCATTACTATTTCTGTTGTGAAATTATTTTTGATTCAATTGAAGTGTGTGCGCTCGCAAGTGATCATGAATCGTAACAAGTAGTAAAGTGACAGATTTATCAAATATCATGCCACAAGGATTGAATTTTTGCAAATTAAACTAATTACCACGACTATACTAACCCAATTTTATCTAGGCAATCGAATTAAAGGAAATAGACTAATTAAAACAAGAAAAGCAAAGTAATAAAGCAATAAGAAAAACAATTTGGAGACAAAGGATCGAAGAGAGCTCTGACAATGATAAGGTAACTAAGGTTTTGGTTTCGTTCTATCAAGCTATGTAATTCTGATACTTGGGTTGTTAACTAGTTCCACTAAATTCATTAATCTAGGCTTTTTAAGGTAATTTCACTCCATCTCCCGAGTGCCGAGTACAATAGTGTGCAAATTCAATTAGGCAATATCCCTTTTCCCCTAACTAATTAAGCAAACTTAATTTAGTGATTACCCAAATTATAATGGCCTCCTAAACTCAATAAACTTAGGTTGTGTTTCCCAAATCTCAATATATGCAAATGACTTTCCCAAGACTAAATTCGCATATCTAAATTTCTAATCAATGGATAATCAAATTAGACAATAAGCAAAGAGAAACACAAATGAATAGAAATGGAATTTCATTCACAAACACCAAGCATCTTCAAAAGATAGCCAATGATAAAACTACATCAAAACCCCTAGCTTAAGAGTTTAGCTAGAAGTAATCATCAAGAATTCCATAACAAAAACCATAGATAAACCAAGAATCCAAGCCATCATACAATCTCAAATAAATAAATAAAAAAAAACACAAACCCAAAAGCTAAATGAGAGAGAGGGAGAAAGAACGAAGAACTAGATGCCAGTCGAGCTCCACAATCTTCCCGCTCTTGAATCCTTGTATTTTCCTTTTATAGGTATGAGTTCTCTATCTCCAAAGTCTCCCTTATGATTCTTAGCTCATTTCTATTTATACTCCTCTTGAAATCATTGCAAATGACGCCTTAAATGACTACAGAACGCGTGGAGGTGCTACAGCGGATGAATTTCCTGCTGCAATACCGCTTTAAAACCCCAAAAGTACCCTAGCAAACAGGCCTACCCACTGCAGCAGATGTTTTTCCCGCTGTAGCGGGTCTTCAGTTTTTAAAATGGCGCTGCAGCGCTTGCGGCAGCATCTAAGAGCTGCTTTTCTGTTGATTGTGCTGTAACGCGAGTTCCATTTCGCTGCAGTGGTTTCATGGTTTGATTTGGCTCCCATCCACACTTTTGAAGACCTTTTTATTCATTTTAACTCAAACTTACAAAAGTAAGATAAAACACACTAAAAACACCAAGAACCAACAAAAATAGCCAAGATTGGTAAGTAATAAAAACGAGCTATCAATTTTTGTCATTTTTTTGTCACTTTCTACATTTATTATTTGACACGTGGATTCTACTATTTTATTTTTTATTTAAATAATAATAATATATCATATTAGTAGAGTCCACATATATAAAGTGACGTTAGTATTTCTTAATGTCTCAAAAGATCCGGTTAATATTATTATTAGTAGCCACACCGTTACAGCCTATGGCTATGGTAGCTGTTTAAAAAAGACCGTTTTATACACACATAATCACACATGTTTAAATATGTATATGATTACCTGGCGTAATAACATATAAACCTCATTAATTAAGGGACCGGGTTGAGTTCTTAATTTTCATTCTCAATCTCAGGTGTGGTAAGCCGATTAATTTGCAATTTTGTCCGAGTCACAATCTTATCTACAAGATCAGCTTGTTCCTTCAATAGAATATACAGGGCTTACATAATTGTCGGACTATATTATTTGATCTATTTGATCGTATTTGACAGGTATCAGTTGACATTATCACTTTAAAACTTTTATTATTAATCTCCATTGGTCATTTCGTACGGTCTGCGGGCGGAGAAGGCTTTGTGAAGTGAATTATGGCCCCGTTCATTTCACTAATTCGAGTTTTGTTACAGTAAAAAGCTCTCACAAATAATCACATCTAACTTTTTTGCTACAGTAAAAAGCTCTCACATAAAATCACATCTCAACTCGAATTAAAAATTCGAATCAGCGAACTAAACGGGCCCTATATATGTGTTGATGGAGTTTTTGTGTGAGTCCAGGATGAATGATTTATGCCTCGTTTATTTCACTAATTTAAGTTTATAATTTAAGTCCTATTATAATAAAAAAAACTTTAAAAAACAGTTAATTTTAATATTTTTGCTACAGTAAAAAACTCTTAAATAAAGTCAAATATCAACTCGAATTAAAAACGCGAATCAGTGAACTAAACGGAATTCGTAATTCTTTTGGTCCCTTAAAGATAACTTTGAAACTCTATTATATTGCACTGCTTTGTCATAAAAAATAGGCTGATCTATTTGGGTTTACTGTTACACCCAATTTAAAATAATCCTAAATTAATATTAATTTCACTTGGTGTTAGATTTTCCGTATGCTTCTTTCGGTTATTAGGCTAGTTATTTGGAGACATAGCAGAGACGTTAGCTTTTAAAATGTCTGTCTGGTAAACCTTGTAAAATATCTAGTTTATTTGTGTCATATTTGATTTGCTATATATATGTGGCATGGCAATAATCTTCTGTTGTGACTAATTGTGACCTTCAATTCTCACAATATACTTCAGAGACCGCGTTTAGTTTTCAAATGATATAGGATTGAGTTAACTAAACAAGGCAAAACATATGAGAGAGAGAGAGAGTGTGTGTGTATGTTTAAGGGAAAAAATAGTTCGAAAAAATATAATTTAATTAGACGGCATCGGATTATCAAAAATTGTTCAAGTTTTTATATCTGAACTATATATATATATACACACGCATGCAATGCTTAAAAATTTATGCACTAGCATTCTCTAAGGTGGATTAATATTGCTTAATCCTGAGAGAACCTTACCAAAAAAAAAAAAAAAAAAAAAAAAAAAAAAAAAATGTACATGTAATAACTGAAGAGAACCTTTTCAGTATGTCAACATATTGGCGTGAAAATTAACTAATAATTAGAAAAATATAATAATATAAAAATTAGTTAATATCGATTTACAGATTATTTGGTTATTTTGCTTTTTAATATCGATTTACATATTTTGCACATGTAATATCGATTGACTGAGCATACTTTTTAAATAGTTAATATCGATTTACATATTTTCTGGAAGTTTCGGCTAGGCAATGGAATATATTTGTTTTAATTTTCTAAGAAATGGGCGTGAAAATTAAAGCTTCCGCTCCATTCATGGATGGACCTATGTTTATCCAATATATCAAGAAATCTGTCTATTCCTTCTTTTGAAAAGTTAATATAGTACTTGGCAAAAACAAATTACAACGTTCATAAAGTGAGTTTTAAAATCTTAGAATTACACGAAGTAATTCGTCCCAATAAGTCTAAATATGTTGTTCTATTTTTTTATCTCGTAATTTATCTTTTTATATTTATTTATTATGTCATTTAAATTTAATAATCTATTAAATAATAAATATGGACTAGATTATATTAAAAATATTTAAACAAATCATTTGAAAAACAATCAACCAGATAAAAAATGGTGCTTCAGATTTTAATTTTATTCAAATCCAATCAACACGCATCTACATCGCCCATCTAAAAAGACAAACATATTTATTTCAAAAAGAGAAAAAGGACAGAAACACACACACACA